AGTCTAAAACTATTTGGAACTGGGCATCTGGGTGGCTCAGTCGGTTAAATGTTTGCCTTGGGCTCAGGTCATGATCCCAGGGTCCTGGGATCGAGTCCGGAGTTGGGCTCCCTGTTCAGTGGGGAGTCTGCTTCTCCTGCTCCGTCCGCCTCTTGCCCCTGCTCATGTTCTGTCTCTCTCTCCCTCTCTCTCTCTCTCAAATAAACCAAATCTTTTACAAAATAAAATAAAACTATCTGGAACTTGAAAACATTTTGGAAGCATTTTGTCAGATATATACAGAGACGCAGACTGTGCTGATTCCTTTATGACTTAGTAGGTCCCCCTGCCTTTGTTCCACAGGATATGCTGTTTCCTTTCTGCCTCCTTTCCCAGCCATGGGACTGTTTTTCTCCCTGATAAGTAAAGAATGACAAGCTCTTTTATTAAAATGATCAATAGTTCTATATATAAATTTCTAAATGTATATTCCTGCCTCTGAAATTATCTTATTAAGAGTCCCTTAATAATAATCCTTTCATTTAATTGCAAAAGATACTATTGTAATAGTATGGCGAGGAAGGAGATACAGCTAATTATCAAGATGAATCACTTCATAGGGTGGAAATAAATGTTCACGTGTGTAAAAATAGCTAGTGATTGACGTGTTACAAAATTTCCACAAAATAGATTGCCATGCAATTTAGACTTGGATTTCTTCTCACAGACCACAAGAAACCTTCCTGACCAGGCTTAGTGTCAGAGGAATATTTTTCATGAGGAAATGAGAAGCAGGGACTTCTCTGGGGCAGTTCAAAGACCAGGATGCTTTCTTAGAGATGTCACTCCGGCACATGTCTCCCCACTCCGTCTGTGATTTCCTGTCTTCTGGATCATTGCTCTTGGCATACTGTGGGCTTCAGCTTTCCCTCTGCGTGCAGGGGAGTCACTGGGAGATCCTGTGCAGAGGAGTGTCATGGTTGACTTAGGCTGGAACTAGATGTCCTGGGCTGTTCCAGCAGGAAGAGCAAGGAAGAGGCCCGGGCAACTGCAGGCGGTTTGAGAGGCCAGGGAGCAGGGCCTTTTATTTCTCTCTCTGACTTCATTTCTTTTTCTTTTTCTTCTATTTTTATTTTTTAATATTTTATTTATTCATGAGAAACAGAGAGAGAGAAAGACACACACACACACACACACACACACACACAGAGGCAGAGGGAGAAGCAGGCCCCATGCACGGAGCCCGACGTGGGTCTCCATCCCAGGTCTCCAGGATCACGTCCTGGGCTGAAGGCGGCGCTAAACCGCTGAGCCCACCCCACCCCCACCCCCACCCCCACCCCTCGGGCTGCCCTCTGACTTCATTTCTTGCTGCGCCTTCCTCTGCCCTGGGCCCTGGCCCACTGCTCTCCTTGCTGTTTCCTGAAGCCACTCAGCAAGTTCCCACTTGAGCCTTTGACCTAGCCGTTCTCTCTGCCTGGAACACTCCCCCCAGGCATCCACAGAGCCTTCTCTCTCACCTTTGGCAGACCTCACCTCACTGAGGCCTTTCGTGACCTGACTGTTTGAAATTGTCCCCAGGCCAGGCCCTCCCTGCCCCCTTCCCTGCCTTTACCTCTCCTTTGCGCTTATCGCCATCCAACATCCTAGGTATTGATTTGATCGTGGTCAGTCTCCCCATACATCTTAGGGTGGGGGTTAGCTGAGGAAGGGCCGGGCTTGTTCATGGCTGCACCCCTGACACCTGTACCTGCATCTGGCTCACAGTCGGGGGTCCCATGGATGTCTGAAGTGAGCACTGCTGTTTCCTGGCAGTGGGGTTCAGGGCACCTCACGACCCCGTGCCCCCACCTCAGGGGGTTATGGTGAGCAGAGTAGGCGAAGCAGGATATGGAGGCACATTGTCACCCAGATGGGGGCCTTCGTGCCAGGCCTTCCTGCAGTTTTAGCTCACCTGTCAAATGCCCTCCAGGGGAAGAGGGTGTGTAGCTACCTTCTCAGACTAAGCATACACCTCTACTCACCATTTTGTTTATGGTCCAGGTCCTGGCCAGCTCTAAATCTAGACCTGTTGCTGGGTTTCCAAGAACCCCACGACTTCCAGAACCTTCTTCCCAGGAAGCCCTCACACCCCACCCAGCCCACCTGTGCTGTCTGTCGTGCGCCAGCAATTCATAACCACGGGAAACCAGGTCTGGGTGATGTCCTGCCGCATTAAAACAGTCTGTCTCTACGACCTGGTATGCCTGTCAAAGTCCCTGCTTTGGGCCTTGTTTGGTTTTCCCTGAGACCTTTTATAGTGCCAAATAAAAAGGGAAAGCCAGCGTTTGCAAATTTGGTTCTACTGGCTGCTATTTCCCCACTCTTCAGGAAGGGCGAACTGTCGTAGCTATTTTTATTATAATTACTCATTCTCTCCTACCTCATTAAGCTGGCTTCTTTCAAGCATGAATACCTGGTGGAAATCTGCCTACCCTCTTATTATCGACCCACCTTTGTTCGCACACAAATGATTGCCATTTACAGCTCTCCTACCAGGCATCTTTTGTAAATAGTCTAAATTTTATTTTCTCAAAACAGAAAGAAATGTGATATCTTGCTCGTTCCACAGTTTCCTGGTTTTACTATTTGGCAGGTCCTGAGACTTAAACAAATGTTCTCTGTCTCCAAGTAAATTGGTGACACACAGCTCTTAGTTGAGAAAAGGGGATGCTGTGACCACCACTCTGGGCCCCAGAAACTCCTGACCTGGCTCCACTGGGGAATGGTTCGCACAACTCTCCCCACCGCACCCCTCCCCCCAGCCTCAGTTTCCCCACCTCTTAGGGAGACCATTGTACTTGAGATATACTGGGGATGTGTCTTCGGAGATGAAATTCACACCCCCCCACCCCCGCCCTGGGGCGCCTGGGTGGCTCAGTCAGTTAAGCATCTGCCTTCTAGCAGGGGTCATGATCCCAGGGTCCTGGGAGTGAGTCCCACATTGGGCTCCCTGCTCAGCGGAAAGCCTGCTTCTCCCTCTCCCCGCTCCCCATGCTTATGCTTTTTTTTTCTCTGTCAAATAAATCTTTAAAAAAAAAAGAATATGGGATCCCTGGGTGGCGCAGCGGTTTGGCGCCTGCCTTTGGCCCAGGGTGCGATCCTGGAGACCCAGGATCGAATCCCATATCGGGCTCCCGGTGCATGGAGCCTGCTTCTCCCTCTGCCTGTGTCTCTGCCTCTCTCTCTCTCTCTGTGACTATCATAAAATAAAAAAAAAATAAATAAATAAAAAAATAAAAAAAAAAATAAAACCAGGGAACCCGACATATTAAAAAAAAAAAAAAAAAAAAAAGAATATGAAAGTCCTCCCTCCCCCTGCCACTCCCCATTATCATCATTATGGAATCAGAGAGAGAAAATGGAAAATAGATTTTGAGACTGTTAAAATTATTCCTTGCTGGTCTTCAGAGGCACAGTTCAGATAAGAGAGCTTATCAATTATACTTTTGTTTCTACTCAAAAACTCATGACTGCTTACTCAAAGGCTCCTTGTTCTAATCTTCAAACATTGTTCAGTGTCCCAGATGAATGGCAACAAGTCCTGGGGAGTGGTATTTGGATGGGCCGAGAAGTAACAGTGTGAGATGGGCAGGCGGGATGAGCCCTGCTCAGCCCAAGAAGTGTTTGCTTTTGCAAGGATCCTGACTGAGCATCCCAAGGCTTTGTTCCGTTGTTGAAAATACTTGTGGCTTTTGTTTCTGGAACTTTTAAGAGAAAAATAAAAGGAACTTTGGGGCCTGGAGAGTTTCGTTTCAAAATGCAAACACGGGAGTTATGAGTCAGACGTGGACAGGATGTCGTTATCTTTTTAAAAAGCAGCTAAAATAGGATTCTTGATTTATCTGTTATCTTGATGTTTAATCCGGATTCCTGAGCACCGGGTCAGCCCCAGCACCTCCCCAGAGAGCGAGTGCCCGGCCTTGGCACACCCCCTGGTAAATCTGTGTGTCAGGAGAGGGCCTTCAGCTGGGAGGCCAGGCTGGTTCTCAAGGCAGAATTGGACTATTCGCTGTAACGTGCTTAGTAACACATAACTGTTAGAAATAAAAACTCCTACTGGGAGAAAGGGCACGCAGGAGTGTCACCGTCAGTGACATTATTTACTTCTAATCTCTTAGGACCTGCAGAACTGAGTTTACTTTCTAGAAAAGTCTAGTATATTTTCTAGAAAATTCTAGTTTATCTCCTAGAAAATTGCATTCTTATCACTGCAAGAGGATTTTATTTCCAAACGATTATACTTTGGGGCAGGAGTTTTGGAATCATAGAGAGGTTGAGGTGATTCTGTGCGTTGATAATTGTCAAATTAAGGGAGGAGAAAAAAAGTGTTTTGAGTGCAAGACTTCTCTTTACTTGTCCATAACAGAGGGCAGATACTGGCATTTAAACAGAAGTCAGCAGCTTCTCTGCACTAAATAAAGAATGTTACGCTAAGAAGGACTTACCCTTTAAGTTCATTACTGACCAGAGAAAGGCCAGGAGAATTTTAATCCATGGGATTTTCATGGCTAGGAAAGCCGGGCTGTATTATCGGGATCACAACAATCAGAGCCGGTGTTGGTGGTTGACGTGTTTGTGTGTATGAAGGGCAGGTAGTGGGATGTGGGAATATGTCATTTAATTATGTAAAATAATTCTAGTAATCATTCTTACCTAAAACTTAAGTGTGTGGCCAGAAAGGCGAGTAGTGACGCACCGCGTCCTGCTGAACCCTGGGTAAGAAAATCATGGCAAACGCTAGGTCTGTTTTGGAAACGTTCTAAAACCAGACCAACACAGCGAGCCATTTTAAATGTAACTTGCTACGTGTTTGGAGAGAAACACATATCCCTTTATTAGGAACATGAAACAAATCTTTGAGCTGCAGTATCAGGGCGGGTAGGTTTAATTGCTGGGATTAATAAATCACAGCTGCAAAAGTTACATTCTTGGCAGGATTCTTTATTCAGCTGTTTTCCCCCTGCCTCCTTACGTTCCAGATTTATGGTCTGCATTATGTCTGGAGCCAGCAGTCGGCTTGCTCTTTTCCTCTGTGGCTGTTACGTGGCTGCCCTGGGAGTCCACGCCGAGGAGCCGTGCGTGGCCGAAACCCAGGAAGCTGAACACTACGTGGCTGCCGTGTACGAGCACCAGTTGATTCTGACTCCCAACCCTCTGGCTCTCGTGAGCCGCAAGCAGGCCTTGGAGCTAATGAACCAGAACCTCGACATCTATGAACAGCAAGTGATGATCGCAGCCCAAAAGGCAAGAAATGCTCCCCCAGCTTGTCTAGCAGAACAAGGCAGATTGCCCTTTGGCTCTCGGTCGGTGCTGCCTGCAGCCCCTCTGGAAAATTAGTCCAGCTGGTAAAATGGAGCAGAAGTAGTCCATTGGCCAGGGGCTCGCTACTCGGTGGTCCATGAACGGGCCGGCATCCGCAGCCCTCTGGAGCCTGTGAGAAATGCATAATTTGGATACCACCCCGGATGTGAATCAATTGGCATTGTACCAAGATCCCCAGGTGCTGTTTTTCACCTCATGTCTGTGAAGGCCAGAGCTAACCCCTGGTTCTCGGTGAGGCTGTGCAGAGGGATTGCTTGCCCAGTGGGTGCCTGGGTCTCATACCCGCAGAGTCAGCTGGAGTGTAGCCAGGGCACTGGGATTTTTGAAGGCTCCCAGTGGATTCCAATGCACAGAAAAATCTAGAAACTACGAGGCATGAGGGTCTCTCATGCTCTCTGAGGCATTCAAAATAGTAAGCATCCGCAGGACTGCTGTTTGCTACCTTTAGATTATTTGGGGCTCGTTTCTGGTCTCTGTTCTAGACCATGAACAGCCTGGGAACTCAGTGCAGACATAACGGAGATGGACAAAGGAAGGACGTTGCCAGCCTTTGTGAAGGTTTCCTGCTTGGCGCTCATGTGCCATTCCTGCCAGGAAGGGTGGGGCACAGGGGGAAATGTTGGTGCCATATGTGACTGCAAGAAAGTGCCCTGTTGGGAAACCCATCACCAAAGGGAAGTTTGGACTCTCACCTGGTGGTGGTGGGGGTAAGCCCTGCTGCGTGAGGAAGCCCTGCCCTACCTTAACACGGGGTAAGCCCATGTGAGCAAAACTTCCCTGGTCTGTGAGCTTAGAGGCCAGAACGGGCTACGCCGGCAGGTCCTACCTAAGCAGTCCCGGTCTCTGTTCAGGGCAGTCAAGATTGCCTGGGCAGCCACTCTCTTTGCTACATTTAAAAATTCTAACCCATTATATTTTGTGTGTGTATATATAAAATTATAGGTTACTTTTAAAAATACACACATATATGTATGACTCATATTGGAAGGGAACCTAAAGACCTAGTCCAGCTTCTTCTGATGGGTGACACTCCTCTCTTGTTCCAAGCCCCACATCCAGTTTTTCCCTGAACACCTTCTGTGGCCCAGAACTCACTGTTTCATGAGAGAGTGGGAACTTCTGGTAAGGTCTGCCTTTCAATGAACAGTCAGCCTCCCTGCAACTGCCACCCATTGTTCTGTCCTCAGAGCTGAACAGACTGAGTGCCTTACCACGGCATGCTATTTCCCACAGATTTGAGGACAGCCATCATGTCCTCCCCCCACCCCTAGGCCATATATCCCTGCTACCACAGACTTTCCAGATTATCTGTGTGCCCAGAGCTGTAGGAAGTTCTCCGTGTTCTGTCTGACGAGGGCAGGGTGCAGGAGATCTAGCACCATTCTTGTTTGAGACGTTGTTCCCAGAAAGCAGTTGGTAGCCACATCTCACTGTGGATTCATAGGGCATTTGCTGTCAACTAACACTCCTGAGCCTTTTTCACACACAGACAAACATGCTGCTAATTGCCATCCTGTACATTCAAAGTTCATTTCTTTAACCTGAGCGCACAACTTCACATTTATGCTGTAGAATTTCATCATCCCTGCCTGTTGGGCTATTTGGGGATCTTTACCGACATCCTGCATATCAGTTACCTTCACGTCATTCACACATTTGATACACACCTCATTTATGTCTACGCTGAAGTCAGTGTAAAAAAATCCCAGGCTGGGCCTTCAGCCTCCTGATGACACAGATCCACTCCAGAGCATTCTGTGCAGGGGTGCCTTCTTGCAACCACCCCTTCTCTGTCCTGTCCATAAGACCATTCTAAGATGTTTGCAAATGCCATGCTGCACCAGAGACTGCGACTGTAGTAGTCGCCTGCCTTTCAGTAACCAGCCCCCGAAGGAAACCTGTAACATGTTCTCATCGAACCATGCTGGCTGCGAGCATCTTTCCTTCTCTGTGTGGTCCAAAAGCAAGGATGAAGCTGTGGGGCTGATCATTTTTAGTGCTTGCCGATACCTTGGCGCCCTTGTGTGATTATATGGGTTAAAGCAACTTCTAAGACAAACTGATGCCGAGCATGTGTCAAACTTTTATATCAAACTTGCTGGAAGGCAGGGGTTCCTGAATAAGCCAACTGAAATATTTCTCTCTTGGTAGAGATATTTCTAGGGAAGGAAAGGAGTCCAACTTAAAGATACTAGGCTGGTCCATCAGCTGGGTTGGTAGCCTTAGTCCCCAAGGAATTCTTGATCTCTTTGAGGTCTCTCAGAAAATTGCTCATTTATCAGGAATGCTAATTGCTTTCTAGATGGAGTGGTAATCACATTAGACCCAAAGTTCTGCCTGGCTCAGGCTTGGTTCCTCTTTATTCCTGGAAAATATGTATTCAGGAAATGCAATTTAACCTTAATATTAATCTAATATGTATACACGATTTAAGTGCTATTGTCCAAGAGAAACATTCAGCGTTCTCAAAGTTTTGTTTTTAATTAAGGAAAACATTTGTCCAGGTATTATTTTCAAGAAGTTAAAAACATGACTGTAATACTAATATAGGATGAACATGTGCCATTGCTGTTATTTAACTCACTGATTAATAAAGAAATAGTAAGATGGTAAAGCTGGTTCAAAAGAGCATCCGAGAAACAGAAGCATGGATCAGTCAGTCCCATGAATGTTGAAATGAATTTGCAAATCAATACAAAACTGGCTAACATACTATAGGGCAATACAATTATAATCTTTGAGGTGATTTATTAAATAACAAAGCCAAATGGTGATACATTCACTAGACCAATAATCCTTTAGTGAGCCTGTCAAGCAGTATCCTAGGTATGTTTGAAAAGCAGACATTCTTCATCTTTTTTGCCCAGTTTGCAGTAACTTTGCTTTATGAGGTGCTATAAGATGACCAGTCTCACACTCTACTGGAAGGAGTAGACATTGGCATCATCCTTCTGGAAGGCTGGCAGTGTAAAGAACTGAAAATGCTTCATATCCTTAAGCCAGTATTTTCACTTACACAACTTTGTTCTAAAGAAACAATCAGAAATTGCAAAGACTCGTGAGCAACATTCCATTCAGTAAGTGTTTTGAGCACCCTGAATGCAGATGGTCACGGCGGCCTCCTAAATAGAATGCGGCCAATGCAAATAACATTTTTGAAGGTTATCTGTATAGTCATGAGGCTCTAGGTAGTAAGAAAAGTCAAGATGAAAAACAGGTCTTGTATTAAAATAATAATAAATTATAATTAATATTGTTATCTCATTTATACAGAAAAAAAATGAAACTAATATTAACTAATATTTTGTTTTCCGAGTTTTCTAGTTAAACTTTTGAAGCTTTTTTAACCAGAAAAAATATTATAAAGTTTGCAGTGCATTCCAGAAATAAGTGACTCAAATTGCCGCTTATTTTAGATTATTCATACCTTCTCTGCCTTCCTCCTCCACCTTTTACTTTGACATTTTAAGCTATGTAAGTGGAAACTAGCAGGAGAATGAGGCCCTGATGCTGAGTGCTGAGGGCACCCCATTTGTTTGGATTTCATTACATAACTGCAGATGTCACTGGAGCCCCGGGCCAGCACAGAGAGCCTAGGGTGTCTACAGGTTTAGGGCAAACCTCACAGGGTGGTTAGAATTCTGAAGGGAGCCTCCTAATTCCCAGCCAGGGAACTGCAAGTTAGAGCAAGTCCTTATTTCTATGCTAAAATCTACACACTTGACTTTTTACCCACCAGCCCAGTGGGTAACTGGCAACTTGGCTGCATGTTAGAACCACTGGGGTGGGGCGCCTGGGTAACTTAGTTCGTTAAGCGTCTGACCTTTGATTTCGGTTCAGGTCATGATCTCAGGGTCATAAGATCGAGCTCTGTGTCTGTCGGGCTCACACCCTTAGCATGGAGTCTGCTTGGAATTCTTTCTCTCTCTCAGTCTCTACCCCTCCCCTCCCCCTGCTCTCTCTCTCAAAAGAAACAAAATCTTAAAAAAAAAAAAAAAAAAAAGAAAAGAAAAAAAAGAATCACCTGGGGACCTTACAACAAGCACTGTGGTCAGACCCAGTCAAATGAAGCAGACTTTTTAGGAGTGGGGCCCAGCATCATCCCTAAACAGTGTTTTTTTCAGAAGCTCCCCATGTGGTTTAGATGCATGATAAGTGGAAACTACCAGTCTGGAGCCACCCCATCTGTTAACAAGCCCAGGATTCAAGGCCTTCGTTCTGTGTCCCATACTCCACTGCACATCAGGAACTCCAAATCTCTCCTGACTGCTTTCTGCTTCAACCTCACTCAATCCCTCCTTCCCTGACATGACCTCAGGTATGGTTAAGGGTTGTTTCTAAAGCAACAACTAGGCCAAGTGAGATGCCTTCCCCAAGACTAAGATCCCTGTTGAGAGCCCGGCCGCCATCTTTATACCTCTGGTTCCTGGCACAGAACAACTGCTTGATGGCTGTCAGATGTGTGAACGAGAGTGAACAAATGAAGGGGTGCTTCCTGTTATCTGATCACATCCTATACTTTGATGTGTTTGACTTACAGGGTGTACAGATTATCGTGTTTCCAGAAGACGGCATTCATGGATTCAACTTTACAAGAACATCTGTTTACCCATTTTTGGACTTCATGCCTTCTCCCCGACTGGTCAGGTGGAACCCATGCCTGGAGCCCCACCGATTCAGTGACACAGAGGTATGTGAGGATCCCAGCCTTGCTCCTCAGGGCTGAGGGCATGCAGACATGAACTGAGCCACTAGCCAAAAGCCAAGACATGTTAAAGGAGCCCGAAAGGAGACCCTAGGATCCTAAAAAAGGAAACCCACACTCCCCAGCCTCCCTGTGCTACAGAGTCACTCAGTTAAAGAATATCTGGTATTATGGGACATTTACTCATCTCTGGATTGTTCTATTTATTAATTACACAAGAAATACATGAATATAGCTTAGAAAATAAATGAATCAGAAGCAAAAAAAAAGTAAAAAAAAAAAAAATAAAAATGAAGTAAAAAAAGTCATCTTCACATATAGCCCACCCATCACCCTGCTTCTCTTCCTAGAGAAACTGCCATCAAGTTTAATGTGCATCCAACTATATATTCTTTTTCTATACATTTCATAGTTATTGACATCCTTTTTTTTTTAAGATTTTTTATTTATTCATTCATGAGAGACAGATAGAGAAAGAGACAGAGACACAGGCAGAGGGAGAAGCAAGGCTCCATGCAGGGAGCCTGATGTGGGACTCGATCCCGGGTCTCCAGGATCACACCCCGGGCTGAAAGAGGCGCTTAACCGCTGAGCCACCCGAGCTGCCCTTAAAAGATCTTTGTTTCATTTGGTCAGTGCAATGTTAGAAGAGTCTTTTGAATTTTTGCCAATTTTATGAAGGTGCAAAATGATATATCAACATCTTAATTTGCATTTCATCATTACTAATCTTTTTTTTTTTCATCATCATTACTAATCTTGCTGTCTTCTCAGATGTCCCTATTTGTTCTCCCATGAGTCACCTCTTCATATCCTGTGCACCTTTTCAGTAGTGTTTTTTTTACTGACTTATGATAGCAGTTTACATATTATAGATATAATACTTTTCTAGCTTAAAATCATAAGACAGGGATGCCTGGGTGGCTCAGCAATTACGCATCTGTCTTTGGCCCAAAGCGTGATCCTGGAGTCTCCAGATGGAGTCCCACATCGGGCTCCCTACCAGGAGCCTGCTTCTCCCTCTGCCTGTGTCTCTGCCTCTCTCTGTCTCTGCCTTCTCATGAATAAATAAATATTTAAAAAAAATAAACAAAATCATAAGACAAAAGGCAGGATTTTAAAAATTCATTTATTTATACCTTGTTTTCTTTAGGTCCTCCAGCGCCTGAGCTGTATGGCTGTCAAAGGAGATATGTTCCTGGTGGCCAATCTTGGGACAAAACAGCCTTGTCAGAGCAATGATCCAGGGTGCCCAAATGATGGAAGATACCAGTTTAACACCAATGTCGTGTTCAGCAATAATGGAACCCTTGTTGATCGCTACCGCAAACACAACCTCTACTTTGAGGCAGCTTTTGATGCCCCTCTCAAAGTGGATCACGTCATCTTTGATACCCCCTTCGCCGGCAAATTTGGCATCTTCACCTGCTTTGATATATTGTTCTTTGACCCTGCCATTAGGCTCCTCAGAGACTCTGAGGTGAAGCACGTTGTGTATCCAGCTGCCTGGATGAACCAGCTTCCACTCTTGGCAGCCATTCAGATTCAGAGGGCTTTTGCCATTGCGTTTGGCATCAACTTTCTAGCTGCTAACATCCACCACCCATCTCTAGGGATGACAGGAAGTGGTATACACAGCCCCCTGAAGTCCTTTTGGCACCATGACATGGAAACCTCCAGAGGTCATCTTATAATTGCTCAAGTAGCTAAAAATCCACTGGGTCTCACTGGTACAGAGAATGCCACAGGTAAAACGGACCCATCCCATAGTAAGTTTTTAGAAATCTTGGCAGGTGATCCATACTGTGAAAAGGATGCTCAGGAAGTCCACTGTGATGGAGCTACCAAATGGAATGTGAACACTCCTCCGATATTTCACTCTGAGATGATGTATGACAATTTCACCCTGGTCCCTGTGTGGGGAAAGGAAGGCTACCTCCGTGTCTGTGCAAATGGCCTTTGCTGTTATTTACTTTACAAGAGGCCCACTGTGTCCAAAGAGCTGTATGCCCTGGGGGTCTTTGATGGTCTTCACACCGTGCACGGCACTTACTACGTTCAAGCTTGCGCCCTGGTCAAGTGTGGGGGTCTTGGCTTTGACACCTGTGGGCAGGAGATCACAGAGGCCACAGGGAGATTTGAGTTTCACCTGTGGGGGAACTTCAGTACTTCCTATATCTTTCCTCTGCTTCTTACCTCAGGGATGACCCTGGAAACCCCTGATCAGTTTGGCTGGGAGAATGACTACTCTTTCCTGAGGAAGAGTGGGCTGTCCTCTGGCCTGGTGACAGCAGCTCTGTATGGGCGGCTGTATGAGAGGGACTAGGGCAGTGTGGGGTGTGTGGCCCGGCACTTGCCCAGCCTGCAGCTCACAAGCACTGGGACTGTCTCTCCACCCCAGAGCCCATCATGGGAGCTGTGGGACAAAGTAGGAGAAGTCGATTCCCCCATGGCCTCTTCCTCTTTGATGTGAACCATTGAGTCTTTTCTGATAGTCTCTGCTCACATTTACTATTTCCAAGCCACATCTTCCTCTAGCAAATCTCTCATTCCACAACTGATTTTAAGGGCAAAAACAAAAATAAATGTCAGTTTATATTTTATACATCCACAAAGCGGTGGGTTTTTGTGCGTGTTTTCCTTGTTCTTGTTGGTCGTGACACCCAGGACGTGCAAGTATCTTAATTCTCAAACACTGAGGTAAGAAACAAACTCTCGAAGCAAAAGCTGTATTAGAAATGGCTGCGTGGGCCCTTTTCCATTCTGGATGAACAGAATTCTATCTAGATGAAGTGGTAATGCCAGAGCTATCGGCAACAGCCGAAATGTGGATCTTGAAGCAGCTTTTAAAAATAGAAGGGAAGTTTTCCTTCCATCTGCCTTTCTGTCAGTGAATGGAATGTGTCAGGCAGGACTCATAATAACTGGAAAGAAGGAGTGCAGTGCCTCAGAAGGGGAGGGAGGACGAGGGAGGGAGGGGGGAAGGAGGGGAGAGAGGAGGCGGCTGGAAATAAGTGCTGAAGAGAGGGGCAGCAGTGGGAAAGTATGAGTAAGAGGATTCTTTCTGCACCATGTGTCTCATCCAGGGATTCCAGGGACCTTAATAAATCATGCTAACTTTGGGCAAGAGCCTTCCAGTTGCCTAAATGAGCAAGATGGAATGTGGGTGTGATTCCATGAGCAGTCCCCAGAGGGCCTGCCCTTGGAGAGGCATCTCACCTCTTGAAAAGTTGTAAAAACTGCCATGGAGGTGAGCCCACTGTAGTCATTCATTCATTTAATCACACAACACGTATTTTTGGAGAGCCCATCAGACGCTTAACCGGCTGAACCACCCAGGCGCCCCTCTAGCCAACATTTCAAAGTCATTTGCCTAGTAACCATTTCAGATGATTTTCAAGTGGGAAAAATGGATAATTTTTAAAGAAGATGAATAATGCTTCTGTGATTTGCCTCTTTGATGTCGTGGCTAGTTTTCTCTTTTAATTAGGTGTTTAAAGCAGTTATACAAAGTAAAAAACAAACAAAAAACAACAGGACTCCTTCCCTATTCCCTGGAAGTGTGGCCTTCCAGACTCCTTTTCTGGCTTTCAAGCAGACTAATAAAGAGCACAGACCCTGGACTCAAGACAGCCCAGCTCACCTCCTTGGCCTCACTGTTTACTCTTCACTGCATAGACCCTGGACAATTGATTTAAACCCTGTCACACCACAATCTTCTCATTCATAGAATGTATCTTGAGTGATCCATGTGGGAATGATCCAAATAAGCAAAACCCCTGCTGACTTACTGCTCACTTGCAAAGGTTTGGAATGAATCACGTCTTAGGGAATAAGCAGGAAGAACCCAGAATTCCTGAGGAAGCCCTGGGAAGTCCCCCTGGAGCAGGGACAGGACCTCTCCCACCAGATGAGAGCTTGCTCGCCCTCCCCAGTGCGGGGCCTGCCAGGAGGAGTGAGCTTGTGGCTCCGGATGTGGTTGGCTGCCACCCACTTAGCTCTCTGCCCCAAACCCCAGGGAAATAGAAATCATTTTAAAAATGCATATTGTTGCTTCATGCCAAGTGGCTTTAAGTCAGCCTGAGAAAGAGAGAGACAGAGCAATCCTAAACACAGACTTGGTGGACCTACTCCCAGTAAACACTTAAGCACTTGCTGGATGCACAGTCCTTTCTTCTGAACAGACCACCTAAAGCTTTCCCTGAATTACTTTCTATTGACAATTTAGAACTAACTGCTTATAAAGTAGAAATGAGGGGGGAACTAAATAATGATGGTAAAACAATTATTTTTATAATAAAAAGAAGTAGCTGCCAGATGGCAGCACAAAGTGGAGGACAGGGGAAAATGAGTAAAATAAATAATTTTCAGGAAAAACATACACCTATGACTAATGGTTGTGATGTGCTTTTGTCAACTAATCTTGAAATTCAGGAAGCGAATGGCAATCTTGACCATAATGTCAAGGCAGGAAATCAAATGTATTTTTGGTCAAATCAGACTTGGGGGAAGTCAGTTGGTCTGTGTGGTTTCTCATGCAGGTACAGCTGGTGCCTGTTTGTGGTTTTCCTCACAGAGGAAGTGAGAAGCACAATGAGCTGTGTTTACAGTGGACTTAAAAAGGCCTGTACCTAGAGAAGGCGAAACCACGCCCTGCTCACAGTCCCAGCACCCACTGCTCCCCCCTAGGGGAGAGCCTGCCTGCAGCCCTGCTGAGGGACACCCACCCAGACCACCCCGCACTCACAGGTGGCCCTGCTCAGTACCCTGTGGCCCCATCCCTTGGCTATTGCACAGCGGGCCAGGAGGAGGCACCTGACTCCAGCCCAGCCAGTCAGAGGGCTGCCTGGTGACCTGCCAGGTGCCCTGGTACCGGAAACTCTGTCCAGAGAGGGACGAGCTCCGTCAGCTGCTTGGATTCTCAGTGAAACTCGGAACTGCTCAAATAACAATTACCCACAAATGGTTTCTCAACAAAGTGGATATACATATGGAAAAAAAAAAAAAAAGCTTTAGTACGAAATATATAAAAAGGCTCAGATTTAAAACAAATGCTGATGTGACATGAAGATCTGTGAGCAGGACTGCTGTGGAGGCCTTTGGTCTTACTGCCATGTCTCCCTCCCTGTGTTAGTTGCCTATTCCCTCACAGCAAATCACCCCAAAATTTAGTGGCTTAACACAGTCACGAACATTTTTAGCTCACAGTTCCTGTGGGTCAGGAATCTGGGAGTGGCTTGGCTGGGTTGTTCTGGCTCAGGGTCCTGTGAGGCTGTAGTCAAGATGTGAACTGGGGCTCTAGTCAGCTGAAGGCTGCACTGGTGTTGGAGGATGTTATTGATAATTGTGTTCCCCAAAAAGATATATTGAAGTCTTAATCCCCAGGAACTTGGAATGTAACCTTATTTGGAAATAGGGTCCTTGTGGATATGATTAAGATGAGGTCATAGCAGAGTAGGCTGGCCCCTTAATCCAATGTGACTGGTGTACTTGTAAGGAGAGAAGGTACAGACACACAGGGAGAGGATGGCCATGTGACAACAGAAGTGAAGATCAGAGGAATGCATCCATGAGCCAAGGAACACCAAGGATTGCTGGCAAACACCAGAAGCTAGGAGAGTCAAGGAAGGTTTCTCCCTTACACGTCTCAGGAGGAGCATGGCCCTGTTAACACCCTGATATTAGATGTTGAGGCTCCAGAACTATTGAGGTCCCAGAATTGACTCCAGTCAACCTCTGTTTTTAGGCCCAATTGGTGGTACTTTTTTTTTTTTTTTTTTTTTTTGTGGTACTTTTTAAAGGCAACCCTGGGGCAGCCCAGGTGGCCCAGTGGTTTAGCGCCGCCTTTGGCCCAGGGTGTGATCCTGGAGACCCGGGATCGAGACCCACATGGGGCTCCCTGCATGGAGCCTGCTTCTCCCTCTGCCTGTGTCTCTGCCTCTCTCTCTCTCTCTCTCTCTCTCTCTGTCTCTCATGAATAAATAAGTAAAATGTTAAAAAAAAATAAAGGCAATCCTGGCAAACAACTAACTACCCATCAGGTTGGTGCTGGTTACTGGCAGGAGGCTCTGTTCTTCAACACAGGGTCCTTTCGGTAGGGCTATTTGGCTGTCCAACTTGACAGCTGGCTTCCCCTAGAGCAAGTGGTCCAAGGGAGGGCAAGGTGGAAGCCACAATGTCTATTACAACCCACCCTCAGAAGTCACACTTTATCATTTCCATCCTATGTTTGCTGTTGGGTTACACAGATCAGCCTTGCTCACTGAGGGAGGGGACACAGCACACAGGCCAGGAGGTGAATGATCACTGGGCACCATCTTGGAGCTGGTTACCACTCCCCTTCGTCCAAATCCCACTTCTGCTTTGTACCTTCCTGACGTTTATAGGCCTACCCAGCCTGTCCCCTGCCTGTGCTGAGCCCCATGCTGACCCCTCACTGTGAATCTAGCTCCCTGGTCCAGCCATAGCCAAATTCCCTCAACTACACAATGTGCTGAGCATAATCTGGACTCAGCCCTGTTGTCTCTGCTTGAAATGACCTCTTTTGAGGAGCAAACACTCTTAAAGTCCACTCCATCAGAAGCACTTTGTGAATCATCTCCCACTGAACTGACTTTTCCTGAACCCAGAGCCCTTCCTCTTTGGGCCATAATACTTGTCCAGGTCCTCCTCTCTGCCAGAACATGAGCTGCACCAAGAGTGGCTGCTCCACGGTGAGTGACAGCTCTGTGCTGGATGTGGCACATAAATAGCTCCCTTAACTTTCTCCCTGAGCCTTAAAGAAGGCTTCATGCAATGGTGGGTTATCTTTGAGATTAGGTTATAAAAGATCCTGTGGCTTCTGTCTTGGTTTCCTACTTTCTATCTTGAATTACTTGCTCAGGGGAAAGCCAGCTGCCCTGTCCTACAAAGCCCTATGGAATGGTCCATTTAGTAAGAAACTGAAGCCTCCTGCCACCAGCCCCATACAATGAGCCATGTTGGAAGTGGATCCTCCAGCCCCAATCCAGTCTTTAGATGACTGCCACCCTGGCCGATGTCCTACAGCAATCTCATGAGAGACCTTGAGGCAGAACAACCCAGCTATACCATTCTCAAATCCCTAACCCTCAGAAACTGTAAGATGATAAATGTTTGTTGTTTTTTAAGCTTCCAAGTTTGGGGTAATTTATTATACAGCACTAGATAACTAATGCAGTAATCTTCCTGACAGCACCTCAATCCCCTGCCAAAATTCAAATCCATCTGATGCTCAGTCTTCCAACTGTCCTGACTGCCCCTTTATAGGTCTCTCCCATGATACATGATACAAGTACTACTAGCAATTATTTGTTGGACTACACGAGCTCAGAAGTAATCTTCTCTTTCTCACATTTTTGAAGAGTGAAGTACACCAGGCAATATTCTCATAGGGAGGAAGAAAGCCACACAGAAGGGTACACACTGAATAGACCTTGGTTGCTTTGAAATTGGAACTTCTAGAGGAGGCATTCTGAGAGTGGCCAAGAAAATCTCCTGTCTCTAGAATTTACCTAACCCACCTCAGCCTGGCATGATAAAGATAACGATTTTCAAGGGTAGTCTCAATCCAACAACTGGCATT